TGTTTTGCGGTAAGGAAATCAATAATTAAACCCGCTTACGTAGAGCGGTGGGAATAGTATCAATCGAAATCCAATAAATGAAAGTATTTCTACAATCAGCTGTTTCTTTGGCATCTGGGTCAGCTTTGTTTACATGTCATAAACAGAAAAAAATGTCAGGGAATTTCGAAGAAGCAAATTATACTTATGAACCAGTGTCAAAATTATTAATTGGTCAAATGCATGAATGAACAAAATCGGTTGATTACTGCACGATAAGTTATTTTTACTCTTAATAGCATTATTTACAACAATAATAAACTACTACTTGATTACTCTTACCACCACAGTAACTACAGATAATTATATCAACAAAAAAGTCAAAATATGATATACGAATAATCACAAATCATGCAAGTCATAATTAAAAACGAATAAAAAAAATAATTTCTGTTTTCATATCATGTATGCTAATGAATGAAAAACAAATCTAATTTAAAATATTGTAAATTTACGGCAATATTTTCAGGAGCGGGATCCATATTACAAAATGGGTTTCACCTTGAAAAAAAGGGGTGCGGATCCAGTCTTATTTAGAATTAATTATAACATGAATAAAAAGTAAAATCCAAAAAAGGGGTTTCCAATCAGCCTTGAAATGATTTTCTACGGAAATTTGAAACGCTCAACGATGAAGACATTGTTAAACTAAATGAAATTAAAAAAAAATCTTTATGTGTTAGTGTTCAAAACCCATTAATTATAAATTAAGCTCTACGGTAGATGTTTTTTTTTCACCTATAAGCAATTGACCTCTTGAAAAGTTTAACCGGAAACTTAGTGTGTATCCATATTTAGTTAGCTATGGGAAATACAACCAATAAAGCTTTTCAAAGTGAAAGTCACAATGCTGTTAATAATAGATAAGTTAAACCTTCATCAATGAAATTGTTATGGAAAAATATCATGATGGTCTTCGATTTTTAATGATTCGTGAAATATGTTTTATTTAAACAGGGAAATCCAATCGAACAAGAATTAATTCACAAAATAAATTCCAAACTTTGTGTGCTCATTCTTGGGTGTTGCTACAAAAAAAAATTTAAGCGGACGATTACAAATAAATAAAATTTAAATTAAGACACGAAAGGAATAAGTGATTATTTAACAGTAAAGGATAAAAAAAGAGTTCTTAATGGATGCATAGCCTATGTAAAAAAAATTCAGTATTATAATTTCGTATTCTCGTACAACATATTAAAATCCCATGAAGAACGTTAACAAAAATTAAGCGAGCAGAATCCACCGGTAACAGGACTTTTGTCCTAGTTATCAGTTAATAAAATAGAGTTAACATGAGGTTTGTTGGTTTAGAAGTGCAGTTTAATTCTAAAATGGCGACTTTATTGTTAATTTAAAATAAAATGTTCTTTCAATCTTAAAAGTTTGTCCATATAACAAAGGGGATATTTCACATAATTTTGATAGTATCATTTGTACGATCAAGCAATAAAATATAAATTAAAATATGGGACAATATTCATCAACGTGAGTACAATGAACCTATAACATGAACTCGGGGTTACAATATAGGGTTAAGTAAAGCACGACTTAGGTATTAAAAGTACCAAAATAAATACGCAAGTGTCTCACAGACGTATATTGCATGCATGGGGACAATTTAAGAAACGGTGGTGAACCATGATAAATAAGGGTGGTCATCTTTAAATGTCACATACAATACTAGTACACAGTATACTTCAATAGATTAAATCAATCTTTTGATAAACATATAAAAAACTATGCTAACAAAATATGTACATTGTGAGTTAAAGATACGAAATAAGCCCCTCATTTTTTTTATGCAAATGACGTCTTCAATAATTATTCTTTTGATCTATTTGACTTAAATTGTAACAATGTATTGGGGAGGGTTGAGTGCTCATACACTTGTTTAACTCCGCCACATTCTGTATGTGCCTGTCCAAATTCAGAAGCCTGCTGTTTTATTAATGGTTGTTGTTGGTTCAAGTCTGTCATATTTGGGTTTTATTTTCGTAATTGTATTCTCATAAGTTAGGCCGTTAGTTTTCTCGTTTGAATTGTTTCACGTTTTCATGTCGGAGCCTTTTATAGATGATTAAATGGTATGGGTTTTTCACATTGTCGAAGGACTTATAATGACCTATCGTCATTTGAACTCTGGTGGATAATCGTCTCATTGAGAATCGCACCACACCTCCTTCTTTTTATACAAAGTATTGAAAAAATAATTTCTAGTTCGGAACTCAGATAATTTTAATAAAAAGGCTGTCCTGTAAAGGAAAAGTGTACAACTTGAAATAAAAGAATGATAATATAACGGTTTTCAATGAAAAACTTTTCCAGTTCTTTTTAAGAATGTATAACGACTGTATGTACAGCCTGTAAAGCAGACCTTCAGTAAAGCTATATTGGAGTTGATGGATTTATTTTCCGCGAACTTGCAACACTGTCTTTCATTGTCCTGCTTCATTGCTTAAGAATGCAATATTAGCGAAATTAATCATCTTGTATTCCTGTCTAATAGTGAAGAAATTAGTACTTAAATGTCATAGCATTTCTTAAACAATTCTCGTTGACAGTGTGATTATACTGGAAGGAATTTAATGTTTTATGACCTGATAATGCACTTCATCGATTTTAAATTCCTAAGCATATAGGGCATTCGTTATTAAGTATTCTTTAGTTATATATAGTATCACAATTTTACATGGATTTTTATAAAGTGCACATTGAGAAATAAGTTAATCCAACTACTCGGTCACCAAAGAATTTAGTTTTATATATAAGTGTTTCAAAACGCATCTTGCATGCAAGACTAGGAGCTATAAAGAATAGATTGTTTTTTAAATATCATAATCTAATCACTGTTAACAATAGTCTGTGTTATCATACTATACAGTCATAACAGTGATCTATTCAAAAGTTAACATACAGCCTGTAACATTTCTTATTCCATTGGTCGAGATTAAAAAGGGGAGATGAACACTTTAAATACTAATTGATGGTTGAACCCGATTACACGTCAATTCAGAAACTTCTTCGATGGTCATATTTATTTATAGCGTATCATTTTTGGATAATTTTGGGTAAACATTAGATATTTGGTAGTTTCGTTAAATTGATTGTTGAGACACGGTGCGATTTTGTGCTATAAGACATGTGCTGTTGACCCGAAGCTGTCTTTTGGGGGTGCTGTTGTATTGCTGGGGTGCTAATTCATTGATGTATACTGTTGAAGGCAGTACGTGCCCTATATTTGTTATATTCTGTGTCATTTGGTCTCTGGTGGAGAGTTGTCTCATTGGCAATGATACCACATCTTCTTATTTTTATATCTAAATCTCGCTTTGGTCAAATGATGTAGTTGAGGAAATATGTAGTGAAAGATGATAAAATTATGGGTTGCTAATACGCGAACCTTTTGTACACTGAGCGTATTTGAGATGACAAGGATTTTTGTTACCGTCAATTCAAATACTATACTTTGGCCTTGTGTAACACATTTATGTGTCTGCGTATTATCAATAAAATTAAATCTTGAAGAAAACACAATAATTTATTGAAAGCATACTTCATTTATGTTAAGAGAAGTTTAGCATAAATGGCACAAGTTTCAAAAACATTTTATTTTTTTATGTAAATCTGTTCACTTTCAATTTGACAAACGTACACTCTAGGCTACTACAATTTACGCCAGATTTATGAACGTATGTATTTTTGTTCTTGTAATGTCAGCTCTTTGTGCATTATCTGTATCAACAAACTGAATATTGCACAAAAAGAACGTTAACTCGCTTTCCGTAAAGTATATTTTCCTTGTGTGGTCATATCTGTTTGTTTTACTTATTGGAAGGATGTTATTGTTTCTGATAATTGATTTGGGCTTACGATATTTACAATTACCCGAAATGCCAAAAAAAGTGAAACATTTCTAAATCGAAAGATGAGTGTCGGGTGAAATGTTCCAAAACTTTGAAGACTCTACCAATGGTACATCATTGCTTGCGGAATCACATCGATTAATATGGTATAGATCTTATTTGAGTCTTAGATTCGGGGAAGAATCACAGCGATTAATATGGTATAGATCTTATTTGAATCTTAGATTCGGGGAAGAATCACAGCGATTAATATGGTATAGATCTTATTTGAATCTTAGATTCGGGGAAGAATCACAGCGATTAATATGGTATAGATCTTATTTGAATCTTAGATTCGGGGAAGAATCACACCGATTAATATGGTATAGATCTTATTTGAATCTTAGATTCGGAAAAACTCTATACTTTAAGTAAAACTAAACATTTATAAGCCGAATTATAGTCACACTGACTACATGTTAACGATTAAATAACAGTGTGTGGGAAACTTTCTTGTCACTCACTTTGCTTGGCTAAACTGTTGTCATTTTAAAAGCTCTTGTCATGACCTTATTGGTAAAGGAGTTGAATGTCCTTGTTGTCGTCTTGTCTATTTCTTTTTCACATTTTTTACTAGACTTTTTTCATAGACTGGTAGTGAATAAGAAATTGACATAGTATTACATGTATGATATTCACATACTTTCTTTTGAACTCGGTGCGTTAACCGCTTGAAGTCGGTATTGTGTTGTTGAGTTAGTTCTGTCTCATTGAAGAATAGCTATCTCATTTTATTCGTTTCTATTTCCATAAAAAAACTTATTGCATAAATGCAAATAAATTCTACAACCGAATGATCGATTAAAAGCAACATATCATATGTTAGATCACTGTCGCATAGAGGATTATATATTACATAAGAATAATTATTATTCATGGGAAACCCTAATGTCAGCCATCTTCAATGAAACAAAACATTATAATAACGTTCATCCATCTCGTTGAACAGTACAGTTAACTCTAGATTTGTGGTTTTGTTCCTGTTACTTTAGTTGTGTCTGTAGTGTTGAGTACTATCATTTTTATACGACCGCAAAACAAATTTGTGGTCGTATATTGGTATGACGTTGGCGTCGTCGTCGTCGTCCGGCGGCGGCGTCGTCGTCCGAAGACACATTGGTTTTCGCACTCTAACTTTAGTTTAAGTGAATGGATCTCTATGAAATTTTACCGTAAGGTTCAATACCACAAAAGAAAGGTTGGGATTGATTTTGGGGGTTATGGTACCAACAGTTAAGAATTAGGGGCCAAAAAGGGGCCAAAAATAAGCATTTTTGTAACTTCCAGACATAACTTGTGTGCTAGTGTATGGATCTCTCTGACATTGTACCATAAGGTTCCATGTCACAAAGGGAATGCTGGGATTGATTTTGGGGGTAATTGCCTCCAAATTTTAGGAATTAGGGGCCAGAAAAGGGGCAAAAAACAAACATTTTTCTAGTTTCATGACAATAACTTGTGTGTATTATATGGATCTTTTTAAAATTGTAAAATTGTACTACAAGGTTCCATATCACAAAGGGAAAGCTGGAATGGAGTTTGGGGGTAATTGCCCAAAACGTAAGGGGCCAAAAAGAGGCCAAAAATAAGCATTTTTCTAGTTTCCAGACAATAACTTGTGTTCAAGTGTATGGATCTCTCTGAAATTGTACTGTAAGGTACCATACCACAAAGGGAAGGCTGGGGGTGATGAATCATAAGGGGGTTCAAAAAATTTGGGGAGGGGGGATTTTTTTTTTCCTTCTTTTTCTTTAAAATTTTCCATTTTAAATTGGTTATTTCTGATTTATATATAAAAGCAAATGATAATGATATGGTTTGAATAGGTTAATTAAAATTTTTTAAGTTCTTAGACCACATTCATTCTGTGTCAGAAACCTATGCTGTGTCAAATATTTAATTACAATCCAAATTCAGTGCTGTATCAAGCTTGAATGTTGTGTCCATACTTGCCCCAACTGTTCAGGGTTCGACCTCTGCGGTCGTATCAAGCTGCGCCAGGGAGCATTTTATTCATTTTGGCTTAGGTTTTGTCTGGTTAATTCGACTAATGGTTTTTGATTTCCACCTTGATATCTTCTGCTTCTATTTATATATATATATATAGACGATTAGTTGTTACTTATTTTCTATAGCACTTGATAGCCTTCAATACATAATGTCGACCGCTACATTGTATCCTGTTTTTGTACAGACCATGACTATGTTTCCTAGAATACAGTAAACAACTGCGTATTTACCTATACCTGTAAACTGTTAAAAGAGATGGATGAATGTTACTATGATGTTTTTTCCAAGAAGATCGTTGACATTAGGGTTTCCCACGAGTGATCTAACATACGTTAACATTAGGGTTTCCCACGAGTGAACTAACATACGTTGCTTATAATCGATCGTTCGGCTTAAATATTTTACTTGTATCTATGCAATAAGTTTTTTTTTTATGGAAACAAAAATGAATAAAAGATTTTTTATATTCTTCAATCAGACAGCAACCCAACAACAAAATACCGACATTAAGGGGTTAAAGCACTGTGTTCATCAAAAGAAATTATCTAAATATGATACATGTATGTCAAGTTCTAAAGCATTACGAGTCTATAGAAGTTGCAAATATGTTAAAAAAATTTATTACAGATCTGGAATAAAAAACGATGCATATACTTGTCCATACTTAAAAGTCACTGACAACATAAATACAATTAAATGAATTTAATACATTATGACAAGAGGAAGTTATAAAAGTGACTTCCATAGAACAATCTGTTCTACTAGGGGTGTTTAACTAACGACTTTGACTACCCATGAGGGTCTCGCACGGTCGGCTCTGTTAAATAAAACCGAGGAAAGACTACTAGCAGACATACAAAGGAGGGAGTAATACCATTATCATGTTCTCATTAAAACAGCTTGGATTTTGTTTTATTTCCACTATTCGGCATCTATTTTTTGTTTCATATGCCCATACAAAATTATGCATAAACTCGAATGTAAGTTTTTTCTTTGTTGAACAACAATAAATCACTATGCACTGCTATATTAATTTTGTGTCACTATGCACTACTATATTTATTTTGTGTCTAAAGATTCAAATCTATCGAGAAATAAATGAAAAAAAAGCAATTTTGAAACGAGTATCTCTAAATTATGTAAATAAATTATCTAAAGACATTAACACGCATGTTAGTATTGCTGATCCACAAGACATGCTAGAATCTAGAGGTTTATATTTATTTTTTTAGGATTCAACCCGTTTATAAACTATTGTTTGAGCATCTAATTTTTTTGTTAACGTTTACTATTAGAATTTTAATAGTTTGTAAATGAAAGCGATCTTAATAAGTATTACTTTCAAATATGACTGATGAGTGTTATACTATGTATGTAGGTAAAAGTCTATTAGTGATAAACTAGTCAATGAATGACTTCCAAATAGCTTAATGTTCTATATGAAGACAAGCTTCGTTTAAAAAAAGCTTATACAACTTAATAGCAGTCAGTAGTCAGCACTTGGGTGTTGACATGAATATCAATTATATGGTCATTTTTATAAATTTTCTGTTTACAATACTTTGAATTTTTCGAAAACTTAGGATTTTCTTATCCCAGGAATAGATTACCTTAGCCGTATTTGGCAACAACTTTTTGGAATTTTGGGTCCTCAATGCTCTTCAACTTTGTACTTGTTTGGCTTTATAACTATTTTGATCTGAGCGTCACTGATGAGTCTTATGTAGACGAAACGCGCGTCTGGCGTATTAAATTATAATCCTGGTACCTTTGATAACTTTTTACACCACTGGGTCGATGCCACTGCTGGTGGACGCTTCGTCCCCGAGGGTATCACCAGCCCAGTAGTCAGCACTTCGGTGTTGACATGAATATCAATTATATGGTCATTTTTATAAATTTTCTGTTTACAAAACTTTGAATTTTTCGAAAACTTAGGATTTTCTTATCCAAGGAATAGATTACTTTAGCCGTATTTGGCAACAACTTTTTGGAATTTTGGGTCCTCAATGCTCTTCAACTTTGTACTTATTTGGCTTTATAACTATTTTGATCTGAGCGTCACTGGTGAGTCTTATGTAGACGAAACGCGCGTCTGGCGTATTAAATTATAATCCTGGTACCTTTGATAACTTTTTAATATTATATTCGAATGCCAAACCGACGATCTAACTCGACATAAGGTTTGAGTGCTTACAAACATGTTTAAACCAGCCAGTCTGTCATTTGTTTTTTTTTCCTCGAAAATTGTATTGTTATAAATGTTGAATTGGATATACAAATGTGTTCATCTTTGGTACTACAAATTGACAATAAACCTAGATGAAAGAGGGGCTTTTGGGTAGTTTATAACAATATCCACGTTCGGTAAGAAATGAGAATTTGAATCAAAGATCTCGTGCAGGGAGAGCTATACTCTCTTCACGTTGTAAAGTAACCCTTGTTACAACTCATAAGCTAACAGCGCCATGGCAAAAAAGTAAAAGACAAAAAATACAAACAACAGTATACAAAACACAACATTGAAATCTAAAGACTGAGCATGACGAACCCCACCAAAAAACCGGGTGTGATCTCAGGTGCATTGGAAGGGTAAGCAGATCCTGCTCCACATGTGGCACCCGTAGTGTTGTATAAAATATGTTTAAAAGTATAAATTTGAGAATTAATCATGGGGATTTTCAAGTGAAAACAATACATTAAATGTACTGCTAGTTGTGTCATGTTTTAATTGATTTGTATGTGTTTCGGTTATATTGCAATATATTACTCTGTTATTTGTGTTCACTTATACTTTCTACAGAACAAACACTTACTAAAACATAATTTGAATATGAGTTAATTGTTTAATATGTCCATTTCTATTACATCTGACTAGAGTCGTTGGTTTCATAATAATATATTTACAAAATGTTCTTTCCTCTTGTGTACATTTTTAAACACTGTATATTGACGTCGGGATTGATTTAATAAATGTAAAAATGTTCTAACCATTTCTAAAAAAAAATATATAAATTAAGACAATAGCAGTTTACCGAAGTTCAGATCTCAAAATCGATTAAGAAGATTAAACAAGGTAACAAAGTAAATGTAAGGAAATCGCACGAACTCCAAAGGGAGCGAGAGCGCATGCGTCTACAGCGTCTCATGTTTTAATATAAACCTGTTACTTTGCTGACGACAATTTGTGAATTTAGGACTTTTCATTTGATTAATAATTGCTTTATGGCCGGACCTGTCAAAAACATGTTACACAAACCGTGATAAATTGGAAAAACCATGTAGAAAAGAATGTTTAAAAAAGAATGAAATTCACATTTGACCTTGAAATAATTTTACTTTTATTTGACTACAAAATTCCTTATTTCAACACTATATAACAGTGATGATTCATACTAACTAAATGCTTTCCATTTGAGGTATATTATAATAGATGGAAATACATAAATATACAAATATATATGTTCATATTTTTCCCTTTAAAGGTATAATGTTTACTTTTGTAAATGGAAACCGTATTAGGTGTCTTCTTTCACCTCATTGTAGGAAGATATTTATAAATGTACTTAAACCTCACCCCTTGTGTATTTCACTTACCCTCTATGTACCGATTGTCAGGTTGTCTGCATATTGATATCAACTGCAAGTCAGAATATGAAGCTTTTTGTCGAGTGAGCGCAACGAACGAGTTCAAAAAGGTATTCATATTGTGGCGAACAGCTGATATTTTACAATATGAATATGATGATAATCTGATAATCGATTCATCGGATTGTATTTGTGTATTTTGCATGATAGAAACAAGTGTTTTTCTTTGTTTCACCAGCAAACCCTTATCAACGTCGGTTCATTAGTATGACGTCGGTGATATGTCCGGGTGAACATTATTTAGACCGGTTTCACGTATTTGACGTCACAAAGCCGTGATGAAAACTTCGAAAAATGATAAAATAGTATTGAATCTAAAAAATAAACCAAATTCTTTTCTGAATCCTAATTTTGTGTAGGATCGCTCTTTGAAAGAGTTTAGACAGTGCAATTTAACTAATATAAATAATGACATATGATCGTTGTAGTTAGAATGTATTCGAGTAACACCCTTTTACCTGCTTATAAATAAACAATAGAGTCTATTCTTCTTCATTGGATGTATAGGCCTTTAGAGTT